AGATAGATAGATAGATAGATAGATAGATAGATAGATAGATAGATAGAAGACAGAGAGATGAGAGAAAGGGAGAAAGACACACAGAGAGAGAAAGAGGTGAAGATACTTGTACAAAGGGTATTTTGGGAAAGATTTTAATTTTATTTAAGTGTATGTGTGCGCTTGAGTCTGTGTACATGTGTGTGTCTATCTGTATCTATGTTCACAAGTGTTTTGGCTCCCATGGAGGTCAGAAGAGGGCATCAAATCCCCTGGAGAGAGAGTTCCAGGTGCTTGTGAGAGCCTAATATGGATCCTGGGAAACAAATTCCGGTCTTTTTGTAAAAACTGCAAGTACTTTGCCATTGAACCATTTCCCCAGCCCCACAAAAAGTATTTAACCCTGATGGTCCCACTTACACAGCTGGCACCATATGTAGATGCATTTAGAAGAGAAGAACAATCTAGAATATTGGGATTCTGATTTTGTCTTATTTTGCTATTTTGTCTTGTTTGAGCATACTCACTTTTCTCATGCCTGTCCCAATCTTACAGGAAGGCTTTGTTTTGTTTTGAGAAATTATAAAAACAAATTTGTAGCTTTCTTCTTCAAAAAACAAACAAACAAACAAACAAACAAACCTAACTGTTGCTCTTAACTTCAGCCGGATTAATGACTTTCTGAAAGTAGATCTCTATTAGATGATATTTTTTTGTGTGTTCTTTTAGAATATCTGAATCCTGTGGAAGAAAATCCTTTTGTGTCACGGAGAAAAAATGGAGACCTGCAAGCTTTAGATAACCCAGAATATCACAGCGCTTCCAGCGGTCCGCCCAAGGCTGAGGATGAGTATGTGAATGAGCCACTCTATCTCAACACCTTCGCCAACGCCTTGGGGAACGCAGAGTACCTGAAGAACAGCGTACTGTCTGTGCCCGAGAAAGCCAAGAAAGCATTCGACAACCCCGACTACTGGAACCACAGCCTGCCACCCCGGAGCACGCTTCAGCACCCAGACTACCTGCAGGAATATAGCACAAAATATTTTTATAAACAGAACGGACGGATCCGCCCAATTGTGGCAGAGAATCCTGAGTACCTCTCTGAGTTCTCACTGAAGCCAGGCACCATGCTGCCCCCTCCGCCCTACAGACACCGGAATACTGTGGTGTGAGCTCAGCTGGGGTCTTTGGCGAAGAGACACGCCCACTCCGTCCCTTCTCCCGCCCCCCAACTTCCTCCTCTTTCTCTGGTGGTCTTCCTTCTCCCAAGGCCAGTAGTTTTGACACTTCCCAATGGAAGATATAGAGACGTAATGATAGTTCTATGCTTACCTAACTTGAACATTAGAAGGAAAGACTGAAGGAGAAAGAGAGGAGGACACACACTGTTTCTTCGTTTCTTCATATGGATTGGTCCGCAGAGTGTCAGAGCTAAAGAAAGCCTAGGATATATAGGGTAATACTGCCTGCTAAGAGTCCCAGCTTCGTTCCCTTTGCACTCTTTCTCTCTCCCTCCTACTTCCTTCCCTTTCTTCTGTCAATGCAGGTGATTGAAGGCCCAGTCTCAATTCTCATCTGCAACCACAGACTTGTGCACATTCAGCATCTCTAAACTCATATGAAGGCTTCCATTAGAACAAAGGGGTAAACATTTGAATGCCACTTGATAGTAACTGAGATTGAGGAGCCAATTTCCTTCTCCAATAGCTTCTTTCCTGGCAAGTAAGAATGTTCAACCCAGCTTCCATAATTTTTAAATCTCCATTATAGTTATAACTAGTAATTATGTTTAGAAGGCCTCTCTGGTGTTCTCATTTTGGTTTACTTTGGCCTGTTCCTTTATATTAATTTCTCCCCTATTTTGGGCTTCTGCAAAGAAGATATTTACATAAAAGCTTCTTGACAGAGTTAAAACACACACACACACACACACAGAAATTATATAATGTAGAGGCCAAGATACTAGTAAAAATAGCATCAAATCTAGGTTTCCTATTTCACCCTACTGAATTTATTTTTCCCTCTCATTTTTCATTCTTTAGCATTTTATTCTTCGCCATAAATGATTGTCTTTGATAGGCAGTGGTAATCTTAAGAGTAGAAGGGACGCTAAGAAACAGTTCTGTGTGGTTCAAAAAACTACTGATACTTTCAGGGGTGGTCCCATGGGGATCCATGCAGTGGAAGAAACACTGGATTGGGTATGTCTACATGGAAGGTACTCAGAAATGTAGTTTGCACTGAAGCTCTAATTTGATTTGCTCTTATACTGAACTCCTCTTTGGATTTTGAATGAAGCAATATGGAAGCAACCAGCAGATTAACTAATTTAAGTACATTTTTTAAAAACGGATCTAAGATAAATACAGACTGTGGAAATGCCAAACAAGCCAACTAGGACTTTGGAACAGTACCCAGGGATTGTGGTGAGAGGGCCAGCACATTATCTTCATACTACATGACATTTGCTGTGTGAGGAAGTATGTTAAGTTTGTACTCTCTGTGTGAAGGAATGCAAGTTAAGGTCTGGCTTGAATCCCATGGAATTTCTAGTACGAAACTCTGTTTATATTGAGTAGAAGGTAGCTTAACTCTTCACACCTAAGTTGCTATGATTAAAAACAAACCATAAACATTTGAAACCTATGAAGAGCTCCACCATTAAGTTAAAGGTTGTAAATAAACATGAAAACCCTTCTCATGTAATCATTTTATTTCCCAGTACATCACTAATGTAATAAGTTGTGTAATAATTTTTCATACACTACCATAAGATGTCCTGGCTGTAGAACTATATCTTTTAGGTTTCATTTTAAATAACACCTGTGACATTAAGATGAATGATGGGGAAAATTACAAATGAATCTCTGGTAAATAAGGAAGTTTAATACATTGCTCTTTTCTACAAAATTCTTCTCCAAGACATTTAGATTTTTAAATGTTTATTTCTACTATTATTTTATTAAGAGAAAATCAGACTCACTGGCCTAAAAAAAAAGTTCAATTAGATTATGAATCTTTTCGGTAAGACAGCGAGTGCTCAAGAGAGAAAAGTTTTCAAGGATGTTTGTGTTCCCACCTACTTCAGAAATGTAAATCCATCCATCCAAATCTAGATTTATTCAATAGATATGAGTTTAAATCTACTAAAACAGGGGAGCAGTCAGATAAATGAAAAATCATCTTTGACTTCAAATTTTAAGTTTATATTTATTTGCAGTGACATTCTTATTTCTCCAGGAGTCCAAAGAACCAGGTCACATTAACTATTTCTGAATGACTTCACAGAAAGGATTTTGGTAAACATTCTGAAAACTCATTCGGATGTATGTTAAAAATCCTTTATACTACTGAAGATGACAAATACAATCACTTCTATGTTCTTATCCAGACATGGACTGGACCAGAAAAACATCGCATCACTGGCAAACTGACATAGCTGGAGTCTTACTGTGAAATCAGCAGCAAGGGATGATCTTTGGCCAAAACCCTTAAATGTGTTGGTCTTGGCCTCTTCTTAAGCTAAGAGAAGTGAAGCAAACTGAAAGTGGGAGGTAGAGACAGGAGAAGGGTTTATGAGATCTTGCCTATGAAGTCTTCACCACTAATTTACTCAAGATAAAGACACAGCATAATACAAGGGTCCCAGCTTTAAAGCCCAAAGTCCCCCTAACCCAATTCAGAAGCATCTACAGGAAAAGGTACCTTATATAGGTCCCTATCACCTTTGAAGAGTTGAAAGTAAGGCTCTGTTAGTAGATAAATCTATGCCTACCCATTACTGGCAGCACCCTCGGACTGCTATAATGATCTTTTGTCTTCATTTATAATATTTTTATGGCTTCTAGTGAGAGTAAGAAAACAGAATCTTTTAATTTGTAAAAGGAACAAGATCACCTCTGAACTGTTAAAACAATGGAAACAGAGTGAATGCTATTCTCCTTCCTCCTTAAAAGCACAAGATACGCGGGTCCCCCTGGGGATAGATGCAGGTGAAACTGAGAATGACCGCAAATGCCATTTTATCATTCCTTCTTATGACTTTCTAATATACGCTTGATTTCAGTTGTTCTGGTATTTCTTATTTGTTTTAGTTTTGACCATCTACGGGGAAATTTTTCAAGAGTGGATTAAAGGGACAAGGTGCAGGGATAGCAGGGAGGCTTTCATTTACACAGGAGATAGCTTGTTTAACCCAGAAAACTGGCATCAAAAGTTGCCGGTTAAGTCTACAAATTGCTGTGGAACATCAGGTGCTAGTCATCACCAGCACCAATTAAAATATGCAGAATCAATTTGTAAGACTGAGTAAAATTAATGTTAAAATTAAGCTTTCTATATTGTGTAAATCCTCAAATTGTAATGATCATGCTTATCTCGGGAAATCCAAGTTTCAGGAAGGGTATTTTTGTTTGTTTGTTTTTGGTAAAAATAGTCATTTAAAGAGGTCATTCTTAAACAGAGGAGAAAAGATGTCCTCTAAGTCAGGAGTGGTCCAGAGTCTTAGAATGCTGCCACTCAAGCAAGGTTGATATAACAAACTAGTCCGGGGTTTCCAAATTACATTAGTAGCACATGTTAGGGTGTGGTGCTTCTCTGTAGACACATTCTTGAAACAGTGTGAAAACACAGCAAATTTTAAACTATTAAAAACTCAGTTTTGTAAGTCAGGAAGAATGACTGACTGACTCTAAGGTGAAAGAAGAAACGGGGGGCAGCTTCCAAGTGAGTCATTGTCATGTGCTATACTTCTGAGAATTGGCGCATATTGTCCATGGTGGGAAAAGAACAGGAGAAGGACATGAGGCTTTGATGAGAGATGAAGTTGATAGATGATCAGTGTGCTTTCCAAAGTGTCAAAACTAGAAAGAAAAAACAAGTAATTTTTTTTGCCTGACACAGAAGAATGTAAATACAAGATTCTTTTGAATAGTCTAACCTTTATTTTAAAATAGGAATTCTTTGTGCATCTGTAATTCTTGATTTTTTTTAACTAGTATATGTAGTTCACAAGGTAATTAAAAAAAAAGATGACCACTAAAGCATGTGTATAACTGGATACAATCATGACAATGCCATAAGACGTAGAATTAGTTAGGTCATCAAATGTTAAATGCTTTTAGGATTAAGAAGAAATCAAACTAGAAAATTAACCATACAGTATAAAATAACAAAATAAAATTCAGGCTATGAAAGCGTAGGGTGGGTTTTGCATAGTAAATAAAGCTAAGTTTGCCATTTGAAATGGTTGTTGGTTGGGTTTAGCAGATAGTAGACATAGTGTGATTTCAATTGTGAAAACTTGCTTTATAGCACTATGGTCCATTTTGCTCTTGTTCTCTTATTCCTTCACCACATTTTAAGTGTATTAAGTATAAAGAGGATACCGAAAGGACTTGCTTTGTAGACATCAAATTGAAGTGCTTTAACAGGAAAATAAACCACATGTGAGGCTAAGAGAGCTTCAAAATGAGTAAAGCAAATGAAAAGGGTATGGATTACCTTTTGCAGTGCAATCCAAATAACAAAATGAGTTATCATTTAGAAAACAAACACAGCACATTTAATTTGTAACATGTCTGTTCTTTTCTAACCCTACCTTCTTGCCTACATAATTAATATGGAACCCATTACCAATTTTTCCTTCTTTTTTTGATAAATAGATGCTAAAGCAAGAATTTTAAACTACTAAATAGGTGTTCTTTTGGATTCTAGATTTTTACCTGTTGGCTCATTCTGAGGCAAATGAGAAATCCAAAAACATAGCTACTACCAGTTAGAAAGTCAGACAAATCAACTTCTACTGCATATATATATAAAGAGAGAGAGAGAGAGAGAGAGAGAGAGAGAGAGAGAGAGAGAGATCCAGTCCTGCCTGCCTCTCTGGGGCTGGAGGACAGACAGTCTTGTATCGGATAGACATGTCAAGGCATGTGGATGTCTCCTGCTGACCATCTGCTGGAGAGCAAATGGCATGCGAAGATGGGTGGGAATCAGGCCTAATTTTAAAAGCTCATTGACAGTTGAGACCTCCTTCTTGCTGACACTAAGATGAGGCCAGACCAAGATGTCTGAATAGAATCAATACAATATTTCGAATCTCAGATATGGTTTTGAAGGAGCTCTCTCTGCTGTGATGAACACAAAGATGTGGCCATTGTATGGGGTCAGTGGTCCTTGCGTTAGTATGTATAAAACCTTCTAACATCGGGGACTGCTTTGTTCCTTTTATCAAATGAAAACATCGTAAAATAGCAAGAATTTGAGACTCTTGCTGATCAAGTCCCAGTGACTGGGTAGACAACAAAAAAGAATGTTTCTCTTGCAGACCCCTGCCTCACTTCACTCCTGGCCTAGAGAACAGTCACATGCCTCCCATGGATGAAATTTCTTGAAAGTCAGCTTTGCAAGCAAGTGACCACCTTGTCAGAGACAGAAAATTTTATTTCCCTCTGAGCCTTAGAGGAAAATGGCACCTTTGTTTTCTCATCCCCCACTTGCACAATGCCTTGCTCCCATTGATTTTTTATCAGTAGTTCCAAGTGTCTTTCCCAAGGCTGTAGCTTTCTTAAGCCATAGTGGTTCTATAAAGATCCACATACTCTTCTGTGAAATACTGACCTAGCCTTTGCCCTCAAATGCCCGATTTTTTCACTAAAATATTCAACCATGCTAGATGGTATTTAAATTACTTCTCAAACAAATGACAGCACAAAAATTATTTAGGATATAAAAATTGTTTTTCCATACCAATTGATTCTCTCACTGTGGACTTCTCTGTAAGAATTTGAGGTAAGTTAGCTCTGTAATGAATCTTGAGACTCACATTGTGTGTACATGCACTTCTAGATCTCACATTCACTCTTTCCATGAAAACTATATACAGTAAATATAGTTTTTATGTATATATGTATAAAACTAAGTTATTGCTGCCAACTAACTTATTTACTTTGATTACCTTATTTTATTCCTGATTATAAGTATTTTACAGCTGCTAGATTTTCTTTTCCAAATGAAGAGTTTTATTGTCACAAAAGTAGAGGCAATTCACCTTTAAGAACCTCCTCTTACTTTTGTTGAACATCTGTCCATCTAAAAAATTTATAATAAGCACCGTTTCACTGTAATGAAAGTCCATGCTGACTGTCAGAATTCTACTGTCTATACAAGGAAATTTTTCTTTTAATGCTTTAGTGTGTTTCCCCCCATGTCATGAACAAAGTGTTTATATTTGTATAGATGCACAAATACAGGGAAACAAGAGTTCATACCTGTAGGCAATAGTTCAGTTTGTCCAAACCACTTTGTCTTTATTGCTATTTTTATCTCTAATGTGTTGATGTTTCCCAAGGCCTGTTGCCCATTTGAAGAATAGCAAACCACACCTATCTATTGACATAAACCTGACGTGCAAGTTTCATTTCCAGTGTTTTTCAGTTAATGAAAGGGTTGTACCATTTTCCTTAATGTGAGAGTCATATCCCTGTATAGTTCTGGATCTCTCAGGGGCTGGGAGTGGGGATGGAGAGAACAGCAACCGTAGCACTCCAAGAACCCTTTTGGAATTATTCCAGTAATCAGCTATGAAAGCAATTTTCTAAATGTAGATATATGTAAGTCGTTCTTTTAAAGTAAGGTACTTTGAAATATGTAGCATAAGCTGGTACTGCTGTTAAAATGGGTCGACTATTAAGCTGCGCAGCTGTGCAAGGCCAGCTAACTTTGAATGCACACCTTCCTTGCCGACTTGAGTCCACCTCATCATGTGAGCACCAAGGCTGCATCATTGCACACTGGGAGTGCAATTTCACATGCTCTGGCTGCTTGGTCAATCTCGTGCTGAGTATCATTAGGACAGGATCAAATGTAAATGAGATTCATGCTCAAGACAATTCATGGCACACACATGAAACTAGGTCACATTAAGTCTCTCAAAATTCATCTCATGCACACAACAGTAGTTGACTAAGAGAATTTGGGTGATAAAGGAGAAAATTTGTAGAAAAGGCAGAGCTGCATTCATTTCCTTATTTTCTTGACCTGTAAACAGAAAAATGAGCCCTCTTTCGTCTGAAGAATCATCAAAGGACAGGGCCGAAAAAATAACTCACTGGTAACCATCAATGTTTCATTTAAATCCCAACATTCAAAGTTAGCTGCCTTTTTGAAATAAACAAACAAAATATACTACTGTATGTTTGAAAATGTGAATAGTATTTTTATAGCTTGTTAAAGACATGGCTAGCTGCATTTGTAAATAAGGATAATGTTGCTTTGATTTTCTTCTGTGAACATCTTTATTTGGAACATAATTGTCTTTAGGGTTGATTTGTATATAAGTAATTGGCTTGTGATTGTTTCATTTTGGTTGGAAGTTATCATTTTGACATTATCTGTGATTCTGTGTTCAGCACTATTGTGATGTGTCCAACCTCTGCACTCGCTTACACAATAGGATATGCCGATTGTGTGTGGTGAAATGTTATTTTCATTTTTTCTATGTTATCTATGAAGGATTGTGCACTTAACACATACTAACTTTTTTAATGTTAGGTATATTTTTAGTATAATTTTCCTATTCTTTCTTCTCCTCCAACCCTTCAACCTCTTCTCCCTCCTTTCCCCGTTTTCTGTTGTTATTGAGGACGAGGGAGAAACTGTATTTTAAATTGATGTAATTAGGCTTTTTGAGTTAGTTCTCAAGGATCCTCTTTTGACTCTTGGGAAAGAACTGTGCCTGCACAAGGCACGTAGAGAACGCGACTGCTTTGCCTCATTCCATACTGATCATCCCAGCTGAACAATTTGAAAACTGTTCTGCCTTTTTGTTACATGAATCTGTCAGAAATATATTTTTAATTTAATATAAATGAAATTCAATAAAATACGAAACAAATGTTCTTTCTGTGCTGGAACTTTTTAATAAGAAAAGAATCAGTTGGGGGAGAGTCAGGTTTGTTCTGTGTTTAATAACCTGTAGTAGAGAAAATTGCTCATTTGTTTCCAGCTGCTTAGACCTGAAATAATCACACAGAAACTATATTATTCAAACCACTGCTTGGCCAACCACTTAAGCATATTGGTTAACCCATTTCTATTATTTTATATTTTACCACAAGGCTCGTGGCCTACAGGCAAGGTTCCAGCTGGCAGCTTACATCTTTCCTCTCTGATGGGTCCATAGTGTCTCCCTTACTCTGCCTTCTTACTCCCAGCATTCAGTTTAGTTTCCCCACCTAGCTTTACTCTGTCCTATCACAGGCCAAGCCAGCTTTTTTATTTATTAACCAATAAAAGCAACACATATATAGAAGGACTTCCCACATCAGCAACCTGAAGATGTGAACATGGCTTTATTTCTGTCATTGCTTATTCTTCACAGGCCTCTGTTGGTAGGACTCTGCTGTGTTCCCTGTGCTCTCACCGTCTCGGCATACACCCAGTGGCTCGTCAGCACAGGCTGTGTTCAATTAACTGAGATTTGTTTGTTTCATTGGGAATAAAAGAAATGCAAAATATTTTGTAGGTGAATGTCAAATAGCATTTGTTTCCTTTTTCCTTCATTGCAGTTCTAACTGTGGAGTCAAAACCATGGAACTCTGGGAGAGTGATATCAGACACTTACAACTCTGTATTACCTCTTTTCAATTTAAGTTTTAATATTAATCCTTCCTATCTACAAAGTGTAAAATTTTCACAGTTCCAATAATTTCTTATTAGACGTCTATTATTATTTCAAACTGCTATTCTTATGTGATTATGCATTATCTCAACTAAATTAAGAAATAACAACAAAAGAGCCTTTTAACACAATTATTACAGAAATTTCACTTGAGTGTGTTCAGTTGTGACCCTTTCAGTATTATTTTAATAAAGCCTTTCTCTGTTTATGTAGACATACACACATACCCTCATAACCACCCTTGGATATTTTGACCTTTTCATCTGAATCAATCACTGTCAGTTAACTCTGTTGAAGGTGAAATATGTCAGGACATTGTGCACTTAGGGCATGGATAGACTGAAAAAATAGGGGAACAACTTCTTTCTTTTGCTTTAGGGTATAATTGAAATTTCCAGTAGTACCATACTAGTTTACATCACTTCTGACATTTATCAAATTATTAAGCCTTATATAATATATAATTTTATTCTCCATATATTGACTCATTTGGCCTGCTATACTCATTTGAAATAAAATTATTGAGACAGTCTTGGCCATTCATATAAGAAAAATAAAATAAAAAAAAACTAGAATCATGCAACTATTATAATAGGTGCTACCCAAGGAGTCACATTTCTGTCTTAGGCTTGTTTCTTTCCTCTGATTGTTAATCAGTTCTCCTGTGCTCCTGCTCAGTAAGAGTTTCTTTTTAGTAAGAGTCTGTTTTATGGTCAAGCACTGACTCCAGCTACCAATGACCTTCGCTAGTTCCTTAACAACTTCTCTTCAAATGAAACTAAATGTTTCAGCTTCTCAAAATATTTGGGTTCACTTTATTTATAATGGAGAATTAGATTCTCTTCATTCAAGAAGCAAATGTCATATAGTGTTATGTAAAAAACATCCAAAACATAATCACATGGAGAGCCCACTGTCTGCACAAAGTGCTATAAACATAAGTGGTAAAGTAACCACCTGTGCCATTTCATATAGCAAAGAATATTGCAAATAGGTACATGCTTTCTGGCAAAGTTAATACATGAATCTATAATAATAGAGATTATACTGTACAAACTGCCTAATTTATAAAGAAGTTGATGCATTTTCTAGGGTAAACAATCTGTAAAATGGTCAGT